AAATACAGTAATCTGTTTCGCTCTGTTAATTCTATCAAGGGTGAAATCAATTGTCATTACCTGTCACCAGGCATTTCCTTTTTTCCTTTCTAATTCTACCTATTTTCAGATATACCCTCATTTGGTTAACTTTTCCAATTCTCTTCCTCGTTCTTCTAGATGCTCTTCAGTCCTGATTCAGTCAGACCAGTGCATCTCATTCATCAGGTTTCCTCTATATATACTTGGATACTATACGCGATTGTTATGAAGATGAGTGTTTTGTCACTCAGTTGGAAGTGCACATTTGTTGTGCAAAAGAAGAGACTTCAGTTGTGCCTCTTTTCTTTCTAATGTCTGCAAAATTTGTTGATTACTTCCTAGATAAATCTTTGGAGTTAGCATTCCTCTGGTCGTCTCCTTCCACTTGTTAGAATTATTGACGACGTCTTAGAGAATTGCTTTGGGTTAGCTAATCTTAACTAAACTGTGTCCTTTTGTTCAATCTTGACAGCTTCCCATGCTCTCTTGTTGATTGGCTAGTGTTTAGTCCTGGCGAGACGGCATGTCAATTGGCCAATCGGATGGTGCGCACATTTTACGATGTGGAAAATTTGCTCATGAAAGTAGCTTAATTCGTTCCATTAAAATTCTTCACGGCGTTGTATTTATTACCAATATAAGATCAAATATATACTTCTTCTTATCACTCACATTTACCAGATTTCAGTTTGAAAACTCGTTAATTCAACATATAGTCCCATTAACCCCTCATTCACTTTTGGCATTTTGGGAATGAAAAGAACCAACTCATGAAATATTGCTAATGTAAAAATGGGTGAATCGGTTGCATTTGGTACCATTCACTCAGTTGAGTTCATTTTACCGTCTTGACGTTACCTGATTGGACGAAAGGAGCATGAGTCGAGCAACATTCTCTCTGATCAATTTTATTCTCACCAAATACAAATTTCTTTTCGTCGCCTGGCCCCACATTTGACCTATAGTTCAGAACCATGGCGGCTACAGTCCAGTGCCCCATATGTCTGGAGGAAATGAAAGCCTCAATCGGAATGATAGGTGGATGTAAACACATTTTCTGTTACAATTGCATCAAGAAGTGGACTGAAGTTAAACAAACCTGTCCTATTGACCGTACACCATTTGACTCAATCAATATACTACACGAAATTGATGGTGCAGTTGTGGAAGAGGTATGTTGAGATGCTCACTTTAAATGTCATTACATTTTAGGAAAAGCTAGAACCACAGAGGTTGAATGAATACGATGATTTCAATGGCGACATTGATATTAATAACTTTGGGTCGTATTTATCTACATCAGGACTTCGCTTACCTACAGCTCTGGTTTTGTGGGATATGGATCAGCATTATCAATGTTTAGGATGTCATGCTGTTTTATCCGCAGACCAGATACTTTTATGTCGAAGATGTGAGATGCGATTTCACACTGATTGCTTAATCAATAATTCTGACGATATTACTCGCATCATTTGTCCCCTTTGTGGACGAAGTGTGCAATGAAGGAATCATGGTGCTTAGTTTTTCGCAGATGAATAAATGGAGCCTTCACTCATAAACTAATAAAGCAAAAAAAGTCTATTCACTGGCAGTTGACTTCTGACTTCTCTGGAATTCGGATGTAGACTTTGTCCTTTGATTTATGGTTACTTTCGTCTTCGATAACCAACTAAAGTTCATATATACCTGTGTATCTTAATCCTAGCCGCCTTCTTTAAGATATGACTTGACCTGAGAGGTTACTGAGGCGAGACCATAAGTTAACTGCAGAGTACCTTTCGGATAATTGTCTAACATTTATGGAGGGAAATAGAAGCCAAGGTTGAACAAGCACAAATCATTGGAAGTTGGATAGTCAGGAATGGGCACCGAACCACTAATTGCAAATCGCGAAAGATCGATCATAGGTGAAGTGAAGTGAAGTAATATCTTAGGCAGTGAATGACACAGCAATCCGGATCGAGCTTGAATCTTTTCATCACCTCATTCGTACTCCAGTGGAGACAGTATCACGGGCGCACTTGACGCCTGTCAAATAATAGGCACGCCGATCTTCTTAGTCTCTTTGGGATACTACTAAATTCT